CCCCAAAACCCCAAAACCCCAAAACCCCAGATTATTAATAATTATTGAAACACAAATATGAGCATTACAGATGAGGAAAGCTCCTCTTGCAATACCACAGAGATTGACGAAAAAGTTGATGTAAACATCAAATTTATCATTCTAGGAAGACTATATCAAAGGATATTATGACGCAGAATCCCCAAAGCCTCTAACTCGACGACCAGAAGCACGGAAAGGTCCAACTTATTATGAGTTCTCCCCAAAGTATGTTTACAACTAATGCTTTACTTTGTTTACCCTGAAATTTTAGAAGACAATCCTTCGGGAGTGGCAAAGCCAGAGAACCTATAAGCTTCTATAATCAAACAATACTAAAACTTAAGACCCCTTTGCGAAAGCGCAATATGTATACAAGCTCAAAAGAGAGCCGCAAAAAGTCTGCCCTCAAAAAGCGTAAGAACGCAAATAAACTCTGAGGCCCGACAAAAGCGAACCACTGCTACTACGCTTCCTGCTCATTACCATACTCTTCAAATCTAAAAGCATCTCCTGTTAGGAAGCAAAGCTCAGAAAAGACAAAACCAAAAAAGAGGCAGCACTCGCGGATAAAGCTCTGTCAGAAGCCTCTAAATTCGTTCAACAATACTCTGAGTTCGAAGCCTCCTCTGCCTCTTCAAAAACTCTAAAATCTCAAAAATCACCTAACACCAGCAAATGTCCTCAATCTTCAAACAAAATTCCTTTCTTACCAAGCTCCTTCACAGCAGCTCTCAACCTAAGCACTAAAAAGACAAAATAAGGCAAAATGCAGAAAGATGAAAACATCAAAACCTGAGTAAGCAATTCCTTCTCTTCATCCAAAATTCATCTCCGATTTTCCTCTGAACTCCCTATAACTTACTTAAAGAAATCTTTACAACTAGAGGACTCTTAAGAAAGTACTTCTCCATATTATAGTCAAGTTAGTGGCTCCTCGTCAGATATCTAACCGAACCTTTGTTACATCAACCTTATCGGTCTTTATTAAGACACAAATACTTTGAGCACAAAATCATGAATTTTTAAACATGAGCAGGCTATTTCCAGCCTGTAAATATACTCTAAAGACCATATAGGCTTATTAGCAAGCTTTAGTCGCTTTCTAACAAGCATTGTTTCCTTTTTGGTTCAAATAGATGTCCCAAACTTGGCTTTGCTCTTTATATCTTCTATAGACAGCTTTACTCGAGAAACAAACTTATTCTTGACAAAAGCAGTAAAAGTGTGACCAATAAGCCTCCCACTACTCTACAGATAGTAAAGGAGTTCATCAATAACGGAGGACTTGCTAGACCAAAAATAGATGTAAAGGTACCTAAGATAGAACAGAAGATATTTTTGTAACAGATGTTTTTCTAAATTCGAGAGACAAAGTTTTATAAAAGAGGTTGTAATCGCAATTTATACCTTTTAGATCCGGACATGAACTTATTTAATCTTTGCCAAAAAGCGAAGATATCTCTTTAAATATAGCTTTAAGCATGATTACTAATTTTTTTCTTTTACCTATGCGTGTCCCTTATTCAAACTGCCATCTTAAGGCTACTTTAAATCAACTGTCTTTCCTTACTTTACTAAAAATATCTCTAACCTCACATGAAATTACAGCCTAAAAGAAAATGTCGGAATAGAGCAAAGGCCAGAAGAAAGTGCACGGACTTCACCTTCAGAGGTTCTGTAAGCACAGTATCCAACTGTGGCTTCCCAGCTACTACAATCCGTTGCATTCAGTAACTTCTTAGCAAATAAGAATTTCAGAAACAGTTCCAGCTTGTTTTTAAGTTTCTTGAACTGGCTCTGCCAACTTAGCCCATCTGTTGCCTTTCAAAAGTTTTCTCTGCTTATTAAAATTGTGCTAAGCATAATACCAATAAAGATAGATTATTTTCCAGCGTCAACAAAGATAAACAAACTGGACTCAACAATGAGTGAAGTTTGAATAAAGATAAGCTAGAACAACTATTTGTTTGGAGTTTCAATGATTCTGGCAACGAAAGGGGTTTTGGGGTTTTGGGGTTTTGGGGTTTTGGGGTTTTGGGGTTTTGGGGTTTTGGGG